TGCGAATGGTACTAGAGGTGTTGAGAAAAGAAAAGTTAGTTGCTAACCTTAAAAAGTGCTCATTTTGAACAAATCAGATTGTTTTTTTAGGGTATGTTGTTTCAGCTGATGGAATCGCAGTAGATGAAGAAAAGGTTAAGGCTATTAAAGAATGGCCAACACCTAAAAATATTTCTGAGGTGCGGAGTTTTCATGGTTTGGCGAGTTTCTACCCGGAGATTCATCAAGGATTTTAGCACAATTACAGCACCGTTGACTGAAATTGTGAAAAAAAGTGTTGGGTTTAAGTGGGAAAGTGAACAGGAGAATGCTTTCAATTTAATTAAGGAAAATTTAATTTCTGCACCATTACTTGCTTTACTTGATTTTACTAAAACTTTTGAAATTGAATGTGATGCATCAGGTATTGGCATTGGTGCTGTTTTGATGCAAGAGCGGTGACCTATTGCATTTTTCCGTGAAAAATTGATTGTTGCAGCACTTAACTATCCTACTTATGACAAGGAGATGTATGCATTGGTAAAGAGCTTTAGAGACATGGCAGCATTATCTTTGGCCTAAGGAGTTCGTGATACATACTGATCATGAGTCGTTGAAGCACCTGAAGGGACAAGGTAAGTTGAATAGACGACATGCTAAGTGGGTGGAATTCCTTGAGACGTTTCCCTATGTGATCAAGTATAAGCAAGGAAAGGAAAACATTGTGGCTGATGATTATCTCGTAGGTACACACTTATCTCTACCCTAAGTGCAAAGTTATTAGGTTTTGAGCACATTAAAGAATTATATGCTAATGATCCAGATTTTGCTAACGTGTTTAATGCATGTGAGAAGATTGCTTTTGATAAGTTTTATAAGCTTGAAGGGTACTTGTTTAGAGAAAATCGATTATGCGTGCCTAACTGTTCCTTAAGAGAATTGTTAGTAAGGGAATCTCATGCGAGAGGCTTAATGGGACATTTTGGAGTTAGAAAAACTTTAGATATTCTGAATGATCACTTCTTTTGGCCACACATGAAATGTGATGTTGAAAGGATCTGTGAAAGGTGCATAACATGTAAACAAGCAAAATCTAGAGTTTTACCACATGGTTTGTATACTCCTTTACCCATACCTACTAAACCTTGGGTTGATGTATCTATGGATTTTGTCTTGGGCTTACCAAGGTCAAAAAGAGGCCACGATTCTATTTTTGTTGTCGTTGACAGGTTCTCGAAAATGGCACACTTTATTCCATGTCATAAAACTGACGATGCAACCAATATTGCGGATATATTCTACTAAACCTTGGGTTGATGTATCTATGGATTTTGTCTTGGGCTTACCAAGGTCAAAAAGAGGCCACGATTCTATTTTTGTCGTTGTTGACAGGTTCTCGAAAATGGCACACTTCATTCCATGTCATAAAACTGACGATGCAACCAATATTGCGGATATATTCTTCAAGGACATTGTTCGTTTACATGGCATTCCAAGGACTATCGTTTCT